TGCCGTTTCTTGCCTTTGTTTCCATTGGTACATCTGTCCTGACATTGACGGTCATGACCTTTGATCGCTACCGTGCAATCGTGCACACAATGAGGAGGCCGCTGACGCCAAAGCTCACCGCTGTAGCAATCGGCTCAACATGGGTTATTTCAGGCCTGGTGTTTGCCAGTGAGCTCTACAAGTACAAGCTTTTCAACGCAGCGGGTCAAGTCATGTGCGCATCAAGATGGGTTGAAGATGTTCAAGAGTCGAACAAAATCACGATGTACGAGTTGATCGTTCGGTTTGTCCTGTTATACCTGATCCCTCTTCTCACCATGGCCGTTCTGTATACTAGGATTGTGCTGCATCTGTGGAAACGAAAGGCTCCTGGAGAGCACATTGATAAAACCCATCAGCGCATCGAAAAACAGAATCGTAAAATCATCGTCATGCTGGTTACCATAGTAGCAATTTTTGCCATTTGTTGGCTTCCAGCACACGTCAATCACTTTCTGGCGACGTTTAACTTCAATGTGTACAGCTGTCTACCTACCTCATTGGTGCTAACACTTTATTTTGTGACGCACAGTAATACTGCCATTAACCCGTGCCTGTATCTGATATTCAATGAGAACTTCCGAGGAGCATTTACACGCCAGCTGCACATGCGTCACAGAATCCGTGGTGTTTCTCTCACCGTTAGCAATAGTTTGTCTAAAATTGGCTCACGAGCAATCAGTGGAGGCCCCACTGAATGCCATGGTCCAAAAGTTCCCAATTATCTGAGGGAAAGTGCAGTTTGAAATCAGATTACAGATCTGTATATTCATTACCCTTGACAAAGTTGTGTTTAAATATTGATCTTAAAGTTATTATCAGGGTCAGCAATTGCTCTCTTTTTGCCCCGGTGTCAAGACCTACGAGTTCATAGTGAAAGGATGATGGATTTGAAATTTGATCTTTGCTATTATTGCATTCCAATAAAAGTAGCCCTCCTTGATGTTTCAAAAGGTAATTTAAAGAGACCTCCAAATGCCATTGCAGTTTTCGTCAGAGATTCGTCAATAACCAACTCAACCGTAAAGCTTTAACCACACTTCCATAATCCTTCATTTCAGGACTCTCTTAAGAGCGCCAAATTTATGAGGTGCATATGTTGAGAGGCGAGTTACGCCGTCTTTTCCATTCCATAGAAAAGTAAACGTTAGAATTTGAATTCCTTTATAATTAAATTCAACAGGTCACACCTTCTTGCCGGTAAATGGATAACCCTCTTATTTTCCATAAATTTATTTGCTCAGTATAATTCATGGCAGGAAAAAAATATACATTAAAAAAAGAAAGGCAAATCACCCAAATATACAAACAGAAAAAAGAGACAAAAGGGATGTAAAATAAAAGTAACCATAAGGAGGACCGTAAAGAATCTACGACCCCATACTGTGCGAGCCACCACAAATAATGACTGATTACCACAACAGGACCATGATTAAAAGACAATATCGGCTGAAATATGGGACACTGGCGCGTCATTCTTATTGCTGCTGTTATTCCGCGCCGCTAGAAGACCCTAGTCAACTTTCTTGTTAAGAGAGTTGAACAGTTGAACCCAGTCAGGAAAAGGGACACTACTGAAATATGAGTATAATATTCAAAGTTCCTGCATGATATGGCAAGTTTTCGCTTTTGAAACTTGTTTTGGACACTGATTCTACTCGTAACTTGGCGGCGCATTCTAACGGTGGGCAACACTCAAACAAAGCTATGGCATTTTCTGCTCAAAATTCTCTTCAGGCAGGCAAATTCTACCCCAGAATCTCTGCTCGAGATAAGTGAGCGATCAGCTCAGGTACATCTTGTAACGATAAATCGTAGCAAACACCGCGTAGAAAAACACCCGTTCTCGTTCGCAGTGAGTCGACCAACTGTAAGCAAATCTTACGTTGTGCGGTACCGCTTGGCAGATAGAGGGATCCCTTTTGATTGAATAAACTCGCAATGAAAAGCAGCAGTTACGAACGATACTCAGCAATTGCAATTAGTTGTGAAGTGTATGTCTGTTTCAAAATTTCCAACTATTACCTTTTGGGATGCTAACTGTTTCGAATCCTGTCCGAATACCCCTCAACTGATTTCGGCTAAAAAATGCGACGTTCTGTGGGCGCAATTCTGGCTGACGATGGTAACGAATAACGCTCGAGCTTCTAGCCTCAGGTCTATAACTAGCAGAATATATACAGTCCCACTCTCTGACTAAGCGGAACCGGAAACTAGCATATCAGCACCTACTATACACATCTTAATTTGTTACCAACAACCCAAGGGATTTCCAGGTGGTCCTGTGGGATGAGCCGCGCGCGGCTCATCCAGGGTCGCATCTGGCGGTCGCAAGTTCAAGTCTCGATATGTCATTAAAGGGGTTATTCTCGGACGGCTTGGGGGTCCAATAACCTCTCCCCCGATCGAGACTCGAACTCGGGCCAGGAAGAAAATCCCGAGCCACGCCACAGAATTTTTTGTTTAATTAATTGATTGATTTATTTAGTTATAATTTTTTTCAACCTCTTTGATTTTTTTTTTCTTTTTTTCAACTTGTTTGATGTTGGTTTTCTTAAATTGATTGACTGATTTTTTCTTTGCCCAATTTGTTTGTAATTTTCGCTGTTGTTCATGTTCCGGATAAACCTTTCCGTTATTGCTGTGGATTTTACAGATTTTTTTCTCCTTTATCTAGACTTGCTTCCTTTCTAAGCCTTCTTTTTCCCGAACTTTAAGACTTTTAAGACCGAGGCAGTTTGCCTAAATGGTTTGTTAGTGGGGAGTAATGCCATCTGTTCTGCAGCATTTTGTAATAACTACGCATTTTGTAATACCTTACCGATTTTGTAATAAAAGTTGCAGCATTTTGTAATTACCTGCAGTATTTTGTTCTAAATACAAACGACGCATTTTGTAATAAGTGTTGCAGCATTTTGTAATGAAAGTTAGTCTACGCAATTTGTAATAACGTGGTGATGCAAATTGTAATAAGTCTCTTCACGCGATAATGTCACGAAGCATACAGATTGGCGGGATTCCCTTCAACAATATAGCTTGTCAAATGCTCTTTTTAAGCAGATATCGGGAGCTAAACGACCCACATACTTCTATGTAAATCTATCTTTTCAATAAGCATGTGGCATAATTTTAGCCCGAAAGGTGTA